ACTGTTGCTTCGTCCATCTCAGGAAGAAGGGTCATCCCCCTGAGTCTGCAAACTTGGACACTCATTCTTTTTAAAAACAGAAAACTGCAGTGAGCCTAAATTATCTCTGCAAGAAAATTTCAAATAAGTACAGGATGAGAAAGAAAAAAGAAACAGGAGCAGGCATGGCGGGGCCTCCTCGCTGATGTTTTCTTAGACTGCTGCTATAGCTTAATTGGCTTCACTGCACATACATTCGTTCTGTTTCCATTAAATCACTTTTGGGGCTGTCCTCGGCTTTTAAAAGCTAGCCATGGTCAAAGCAGGATGCAGTACAGTGGGATTGTGTGGAGCCCCAGGGACTCACGGGGGTGAGGGGTTGGTGGGCACTTAACCCTGTGGGTCCAAGGCGGCCCGTGTGCATGTGAGGAGACCAAGTTTAGCTGACCCTTGAATGCCATGGGTTTGACTGCATAGGCTACTTGTATGTGAATTTTTTTTGATAAATACAATACAGTACTGTAAACGTGTATTCTCTTAGGATTTTTTTTAACACTTTTGCATCTCTTGCTTACTTTATTATAAGAATACATGCAAAAATTGTGTTCAGTGGTTGTTTATGTTTTAGTGTGGAGTAGGCTATTAGGCTATGAGGAGCTAAATTTGGGGGAGTCAGAAGTTGTACATGGATTTTCGACTGTTTGGGGCAGGGGTGGCGACACAGCCCCCGTGTTATTCTAGACCCAGCTGCACTTAAGGATCGCGTTCGGACCATTACATGAGATAATACATGACAGCGGAAGCTGAGAGGCGGAATTCCCTCGACTTTTCCTTCTAGCTGCATATGTCCGGCACTTAACTGCATCTTTAAAAAGGTGCTTCTTTAATTTCCTCACCACCCAGTCTCCCAAGCTCCGGGCACTTGACCAGACCTGCTAGGGAAAGGCCCCTGCTGAGCTGAGCCTCTCCTGGTGCCTGCTTTGGGAGGGCTGACTGCTCCAGCCTTTGTGCTCTTAGCTCCCTGCTCTTAGGCCCCCCTGGCCCCCTTGCTGGCTCTTTGGACCCCTGTCAGAGCTGCAGCCCCACACTGCTGTGGCCCCTTGGGTGGTCACGTCCGTTCCCACTTTGTCTCTTGAGGACGGAGTAGTAGGAGGGCAGATGATTGTTTGCTGGTTTATTCCTGAGGCACCTCAAGTCCCGTGAGCCCCAGTCCCGGGGGACTCTTTCTGAGTCTGCGGCTCCTGTGTTCTGGGAGAAGCAGGTGGGACAGAAACGCCTCCGGGTCCCCTTCACTTCCGTGTGCTGTGCCCCAGCCGTCCCTTGCCTGTGATCCCCGCTGTGCTCTCCCTTCTGGGGGCAGCTCTCAGTCCCCTGCAGGCCCCACTCCCGTCTTGGCCCCGGCCAACTCCTTCTCTCTTCTGGGTGGTGGCCATGGCCTCCTGGTTGGCTGGCTTCCTCCTTCCATCCTTGGTCTCACCAATTATTTTTTAAAACATCTGTCTATTTACCAGCGACGTGGTGCCTCCCATACCAGCAGAACAAGTCCAGACTTCCAGACTCCTGAGTTGGGCCTTCTGAGTACTCTGTGAGTGGCCGCACCTGCCCTTCCCCTTCATACCTCCCCTCCTTCACCCTGAGCTCGAGGCCCTTGGTCTCGCTGGGTTCCTGCTCCCGCCTGGGCCTCCTCACACTGTTCTCGCCCCCTGTGTGTACCTCGCCTGTTGCCAGGGCCCACCATGCTGGCTTCTTTACTGACACTTTCTCCGGCTCCTCCAGATAGAATTGGCTGTTGTCATCTCTCTCCCTCATCACCCTTTGCTCCTGATCTGGGGGTAACACTTAGCACATTATTTACGGGCCTGACTCCCCCCCCCCCTGCTGGTTTGTGGGCTCCTGTGAGCTAAAGCTGCCTCTGTGGTTATGCGTCCTGGGGCTAGTGTAGAGAGGATGGTGCTTGGAGCCCCCCCACGTCTGAATTAAGTAGAGCTCTCATGGTTCACGTTTGCTTCCTATGCTGCTTCTGTGCCTGAAGCAGAGAGTTGCTTATTCTTGCTTTTTATAGGTCATCAGTGGGTGTATGAATAGTAAAGCCATAATGAGTTTAAATAGCATTTTAATATAAACATGATTATCAGACTCTACGGTAGACATTCTTTTTATTGCAATAGTGAAAGTAATTGTATCTTGATTCTTTTTTTTTTTTTTTTTTTTAAGATTTTATAAGTAATCTCTGCACCCAGCCTGGGGCCCGAACCCCTGAGACCAGGAGTTGCACGCTTTACTGACTGAGCCAGCCAGGCGCCCCTCTTGATTTTTTGTCGTGACTGATCTCCAAAGAATATTGATGTCTTTTGTTTATTTTAGTTTGTATTTGAGGATACATTGTCTGTTTACAGCCAAAGAAAAAGTGAGGGAGGAGGCTAAGAACCTCGCCTGAAGGTACAGACAGAGGTCAGTCAGAGACATCATGGCCCCTGAGTGCAGTTTCTGGAGGAAGCATCTGGCTGGAACTTGGCCTCTGCTTCACCTTTCCCACCCTGTCCCTGCAACCGTGCTGCTTATTTTTCTTCTGTTCATTTTTTTTTAATTGAAGCATAATTAATGCACAATGAAATGTACAACTTTTAAGTGTACTGCTGATCGTTTGGGTTTTTTTCCTAAACCAGCTCGTTGACTTTTGTTTTGACACATGCATGTGCCGGTGGCACCAGTGGTCCTGTCAGGATATAGGCATTTCCATCACCTCAGAAAGTTACCTTGGGCTCTTCTCAGTCACTCCCCTTGTGCTCAAACCCCTGTTCTGATTTCTTTCAGAAAAAATCAATGTTGCCTGGTTTCAGGTGCCATATAGGTGACATGATATCTTTGAGATTTATCCATGTGGTCACAAATCTCATAAAAAAATTTTCTTCCTCTTCGCTGCTGAGCAGTGTGCCCTCGGATGAATATGCCATAGTTTCTTGTGCATCTCCCGGTAGTGGATGTTTGGGTTGTTTCTGGTTTGGGGAGTATTATGAATACGGTTGCTGCAGACAGTTCTGTACGTGTTTTGTGTTCAGATTCATTTCTCCTGGGTAAATACCGACAAGGGGAATTGTTGACTCACAGGGTGGGTGTCCAGCTTGGGGAAAGTGTCAGGCCGCTTTTCGAAGTGGTTGCTGTGTTGGTTACTTTTCAAAACGTATAAAATAATTGGGGATTTGGTCTCACTGTAGAGATTCTGCGGGAAACCTGATGTCTGCGATGAGCAGTCTTACATCTTGCAAGGCCAGTTTTATTTTAAAACATTGTTAACATAAGCTTATTTGAAAACAGTTCAAGATATTAGGTGTTCAGAGGTGCTGGCTGTTGCATAGCCATCCCATGAACAAAATCACTGCATGTACAGAGTCGCCCGCACTAGTGCCGGCAGCGTGGAGTCACGGCCACGTGTGCTCCTCAGACGTTCAGAAGGCGCTCGGAGCACTGGCCCCGGGGTGGCGGGGAGGCTGTCAGGTAAGTGCTGAGGGAGAAGTGGCTCCTGAGGAGTCTTGCAGTGGCTGCTGGGCAGAGGGGATGACAGAGCCTGGCCTCGGTGGAGGACGGGCAAACTCGGGGCTGGACAGAGAGTGGCCTCCGCTCTGCCCTGGAGAGTCTGGCTGGTGGCAGAGACTAGGGGGTACCGTGCCACCAGCAACCACCCCCTCCCCCCTCTTCCACGCCAGCCTCCTGCTGTCCAAGTCAGGGGTCTTGGTTTCAAAAGATAGACTCCGGCAGAGGGTTTGCTTAAGCAGAAAAATCATCTCTTGGAAGGAAACGGGGAAAGGACGGAGCGGCCAGGCGCGCAGAGCAGGCGGCCAGGAGGGAAGCGAGACTTGCGGCGGGAAGGGCTGCCGGGAAGGGCTGCGCTTCGCCGGCCTCCTGCCGCGGGCACGCCGGGCCAGCTGGTTCTAGTTTACACTCTCTCCTGAGGTCTCTGTCACTTAATTCTCCTTTTGGGAGAAGTTTCTCATCTCTCGTCCAATCCTGTTTTGTTTTTTTTTTTTTAATTTTAATTCTATCATTTTTATTTTTCAGTAACTAGGAAGTTCTCAGAATGTTCCTCTTTTGTTTCACAAATACAATGTCTTAACTCTTAAGGTTTCTCTCTGCGTTTTGCCTCTTTTGAATTCCTTTTTCCCCCTCTTTCTGGGGCTCTTTCTCTCATGAGACCTATTTTGGGCTTTCTTCAAAACCTCTGACCTGTATGTCAGTCAAAGCATTCTGCTGTCCGCCTAGAACATACACAGGGATGCATGTCAGTTATATTTCATTAAGGCTGGAAATAAATGGACAGCTTTAAAAAAACTCATGAAAAGATTTGTCCTGGAAATGAAGACTGGTTATGTTGAGGGGGGACTCCCCCCACCATCTTGGTATCTTTAGGCCTTTCCTCTTGGGCCAGACGTGTGCTTTTGGAGAGGCCACATCTGGTCACCCGCCTGCCAGCGATCTGGGAGCCGGGAGGGAGATGCCACCTGGGAGTTTCTTCCTTCAGCAGATGGCCTCGCTCGGTTCCCTGCTTGCTTGCTGTGCCTGGTTCCCTCCCACAGTGGGCCTGGAGTCCTGTCCAGCACCTCTCACCTCTGGGTCTCACTCTCTCCATTTTCTCTGGAAGTCTTCTGCTGTGGCTGCTAAAACACGTGTTGACTTTTGAAATATAGGCTGGTCCGGTTTGGTTTGGATGATCCCTGGGGATCTTTCTCAAGAGATTTTGGCTTCTCGACTTGTATTTAATGCCAGGGCTTGGATAGCAGGAGGGTAGAATGGGCAGATGTAAAGTGAATGACTTCATTTTCAGGATTGTCAGTCATTTCATAGTTTACTAGTAATGAAAACACAGAGTAATGTTTTCATGGTTAAGGATAGTTCTGAATGACAGCTTGACGTGTAAAATCTTACGTTGGTTATGTAGCTCCCCAAATTGATCCTATCCCATGAAATGTTACGTACTTTTGTCATTGAATGAGTCACTCTTCTAATTAGAGTTTGTTATCTTTCAGATCCTGTCACACAGGACACTATGCACCTTAAGATCCTGAAGAAGAGGCCAAGATGTTCGAGTGATGTTTAGAGATCATTTGTGAGGTAAGCGAGTGACTCTGGGCAGGTGTCTTGTCATGGCGTCCTTCCTGCCATGGGCGCCGACTGTGTTCGTTGAAAGGGCAGCACAGGCGGTCCAGAAGGTCAGTCTTTTTACCTACCGGCTTTGGTTTGCTCACCACTTACCCGGAAGGTAGAACATGCCTCTGGAAGGGATTCTGTGACGTGAATTTGGAAGTTATCCGCAGGTATTACAGGATGAGGCGCCTGCCAAGTGACAGTTAGTGGAAAATATTGCTCGGATGGTCGTCCGCTCAAGTCATGGCGATCTCCTGTGGTACCTGCCCTGTTCTGGGAAACAGGGCTTTCTCTAACATGAGCATAAACGAAGCTTAGGATTGGGAGTATGGACAAAATCCCATTAAATTGGCCATTAAAGTCAAAAAAATGCTGACGCATCATCTGCCGGCCTGTTAGTCGATGCGTGGTGCTTTCTGGGTTCTCTCAGAAATGGTCTTCAGAAGGAGATCGATGGCACTGTGGCACCGAGTGTGGAAAGAGACGCACCCTGACCCCAGGGACTGGTACACTTAGTGTCGCAGCGCAGATGGCCATGCGGCCTGCTGTCCTGTGTCCAGCATGCGCAGATGGTTCCGTGTGAAGGGGCTGCTTCTTCATTTCCTCCCCGCCCTTCCTCTTCCGTTCATGAAGTGTAAACACGGTGACTCAGCAGAATGCCCGTGCAGTGGGCTACACAGAGCTGAATCTATCCGCCTACTCTGCTGTGTTCATTGATTGTTTTCTTGAAAATAAGGTGACTTTTGGGTATCGGATGATTTTCCCATTGCCTTCGGGTGGATTGTACAAATTTGGCTCTGTAACGTTTTCACATAAACATCATGCATCCACATCCTCATGAGCTTGTCTAGGAATCTCCTACCACGCCCAGGGTTGGCGTCTTTGTGGCTTCTCTTCCTGCAGGAATAGACCTGCCGTCTGCGGCCCAGGTAGGGGTGTGCCACGACAGGGCTGCACCCGGCTCTCGGGGCGGGGGTGTCACCAGTGGGAAGGCTGGGCTGAGCTGGTTCCGTGTTCACTGTGTGTGCCTCTAGAGACTTGCGGGCCCTTGCTTTCTGGAGGGAACTTAGACTGTACGGACATGCTCGGACAGAAAGCTAGCCTGTAGCCTCTCGTCTTACTGCCCAGCAAGGAGGCGCCCGCTTGTCGTGGGCAGTGTCCCGCCGGAGGAGTAGCCATAAAGCAAAATGAATTCTGGCCGGAGGAATTTGTCAGCTTCAGTGCTTGATGTTGTATAGTTAGGATTCACGAAGACCCTCTTCTGGAAATCACTAGGAAACTACTTGCGTCTGAGAAGGGCACCAGTTTCTTGGTGTTACATCTGCCTGATAACAGACATGCACTTGCTGGGGGCCCAACGGTGTGCACACCCTGAAAGGGAACACGGGGAGAGAAGACCAGTCCCTCCGTGTGAGTCATTCAGGAAGTGAGACACACAAGGCCTCTCTTAAGATAGAAAGGGGTCCGTATGCTGCAGGCAGCACTGATGAGTGGGGCCTGGGAGTCCCAGGGAGGGCAGAACCTTCCCGTCACTGTCTCGGCCCCTGACAGAATGGGGCTGGACCGGCGTGTGCGCAGAGCCAGGGTCTGCTGTCCTCATCAGGCAGTCATGTCTGGTGTTCAGAAACCCTCTTCAGAGGAAGAACAACTCTTCAGGACGGCATGCTTGCAAGAGAGGAAGGTCAGGCCCTGTGGGGCATGGAGGGCTTGGGTGGGAGGGGGAGACGAGCATGGTGCTTGCAGGGGACGGTGGAGGGCTCGGCAGCTGCCAACCAGGACGGCTGGCTGGAACCCGTCCACATTCTTTTTCTCTTTAATTTCTTCTGTTTCACCTACAAAAAACCTTAAAGCTATTTTTGTCAGACCTAAGAGCAGGGTTCTTTTACTGCCAGTGGGACCCCGTTTCAGGTCTCTCTCGTACCAGTGAATGTTTGTCCACCGTGAGGGAACTCTGCAGAGGGTTTCCCGCGTGACCTCCGTGAGCAAGGCTGTGCGTTCGCCCTTGTCGTCCCTGTGCTGCAGTTGTGTGGGGGGGGTGGGGGCAGGCGCTGAAGGAAGCCGCGCCTGGACTGGAAAGATGGTGCAGGCAGGGCTTGTGGCGGGCCCAGGGCATCCTCCTCTCTCCTGCTCCTGTTCCACGGCGGCCAGGCTCTTGCACTGAGGGCGCTCACCTGAGTTCCGGTGCCGAGGAAGTACTCGGGCCGTTTGAGAAGACACTGTCGGTGCTTCTCTGTCCTTTGTACGAACACCTCAAGGCCCAGTGAACGGACTCCTGTGTCCCCCTCCTTGTGTTTATCATGAGCGTCCAGCTGCCCTCAGGTCGCACGCTGGTCACAGAAGGGCGTGCATTAAAGTAGCAGTCCAGCCAGTCTGGGGAAGGTTTCTCGTGAGTTCCTTCAGCCCCTGTGTGCGCTCAGACACCGGTACTGTAGGAAATACAGGCAAGGTGTCGGAAGGAGAGCTGAAGGAACGGATTAGCAAGTGAAGAGAACTTGTAATTAAGAGAGAAAGGCATTCCAGAAAGTGCAGAGTTGAGGGCGAGCGCACCATAGAGGTGGCCCAGCACGGCCGGCGGGGGAGGCGGGCAGGAGCTCGGCGCTCCGGGGTCCCCGTGCCAGCAGAGGATGGCGGGGGGGCGGGGGGCTCGGGGGCCGGGTATCCGCACACACGGGGCCGCACAGGCTTGGCGGCGAGGATGGCGGCCGCGTGCCACTGGCTTTGTCTCCCCCGGGGCTGGGAGTCTGCATCTGGCCTTCGCCCCCCTGTGGTTGGCCGTAGGTGAGTGTGCGTGCATCTCGGCATCACCCACGCGGTGGGGCTGTGTCGCGGCCTGTCACCTAGTCGCTAAGGTGAAAGACTGTAGGGTTCAGATCTTGTTCAATTGTTGTCTTCCCTTCTGCCGTGTCTATTTAGACGGTCCTTGTGAGACGGCAAGGAGCAGAGGAAGCCGTCAGGCTTCAAGTGGCCCATGAGCAAGCGTGCACGTGTCCCCTGCACCTCATCGGCTCCGTCCGTTCCCCTCTAGGGTGCGCCGGGGAAATCATGCCGTCATCAGGACACCGGCTTCGGGATGTGGAACATCATCCTCTCCTGGCTGAAAATGACAGTTACGACTCTTCGTCCTCCTCTTCCTCGGAGGCTGACGCGGCCGACAGGGTCTGGTTCATCCGTGACGGCTGCGGCATGATCTGTGCCGTCATGACGTGGCTCCTGGTCGTCTATGCGGACTTTGTGGTGACATTCGTCATGCTGCTGCCTTCCAAAGACTTCTGGTACTCTGTGGTCAATGGTGTCCTGTTTAACTGCCTCGCGTTGCTGGCTCTGTCGTCCCACCTGAGAACCATGCTCACCGACCCCGTGAGTACTCCCCGTCGCCCTGCACCTCCCCCCGTGTCTGGTCATGTGGCGCCACAGACCCTGAGGCGAAGGGCCTCCTGCTCCTGTGGCCTCAGGCTTTCATTAATTCCTGGGTACAGGCTTGTGGCGTTTGTCATGTCTTCTTTTTTTTTTTTAAGTTTATTTATTTATTTAAAAGTAATCTCTATGCCCAACATTGAGCTTGAACTCAAAACTCCCAAGATCAAGAGTTGCTACTCCACTGACTCAGCCAGCCAGGCGCCCCACATTTTTCATGTCTATTTTATTTTATTTTATTTTATTTTATTTTATTTTATTTTATTTTAGCTTTATTTGAGAGAGAGAAACAGAGAGCAAGCAAGAGAGAGGGCCCATGCACGAGTGGGGGGAGGGGCAGAGGGAGAGAATCTCCAGCCAACTCCCCACTGAGCACGGAGCCTGATGCAAGACTCGATCTCACGACCCTAAGATCCTGACCTGACCCGGGTGGCTCAGTTGTTAAGTGTCTGCCTTCGGCTCAGGTCATGGTCCCAGGGTCCTGGGATCGAGCCCCACATCGGGCTCCCTGCTCAGCGGGAAGCCTGCTTCTCCCTCTCCCCCTGCTTGTGTTCCTGCTCTTGCTGTCTCTCTCTGTCAAATAAATAAATAAAATCTTTTAAAAAAAAAATTTAAAAAAAAAAAAAAAGATCCTGACCGAAACCAAGAGTCAGACACTCGACCGACTGAGCTACCCAGGCACTCCACATTTTTCGTGTCTTCACTGGAGAGTAAATATTGCTTAAACACAAATGTCACAGTGCACGAATGGAAAATAGCCCGCTGGGCGGTTTGTACGGATGGAGAGATTAACTAGGTGACTTAGAAATTCCTCCTGCTTTAAATACTGTGTTCCTCTAAAGAACAGACTGAGATCTGGCTTTTAGATTTCACCACCTAACTGATCTTAAGTCCTTTGCAGCTTTACAGTCCTCTCATTGCTCTGTGTCAGCTGAAGTCTGAGGCCACGTGGGCCATGCATTGGGCTCCTTTTGGGAGCAGGTTCCCTGAGAGTCAAGAGGGGCCAGACCTACCACCGTGAACTGCCCTTGGTCCCTGATGTCTTGAAGGCCACTGGATTCAGAACCTCCGTGTTGGGTTTAAGGCTCTTTCTCTGAGGTTTGAGACCTCCTTGGGGTAGGCAGAGCGGTACATACCCTAGTAGCTCAGCCAGGAGTCACCCCCAGAGCGCAGGTTCCATGCTCGCCGCAGGGCCCAGAGGAGATGCCCAGGGCCCCCCGGGGAGAGGTGACTGCCGTCAGCGGAGCCGTGCGACAGGCCGCACCACCAGGTGGTGCCTGTGGAGCGACATTTGAAAACTGCTTTCCACAGCATTAAAACTTTGGTTTCTAACTAGTGGTCCAGGGGCTCCTGATTGATGAATTATCATCTGTGCGGTTCATGTTTGTTGGTAGCTTTCTCTACAGAAAATACTGACAAGTTAATATCTTGTTGGTACAGATCTTTTTTTATAAATTAGATTAGGAGTCTGTTTGAGGATGAACTGATACCGACCGGTCCACAGAATGAGGTTTACCTGCACTTTTATCTGACTTTCGCTGTCGGAGTTCATATCCCAGGGGCTCTCCCTACGCTGTTCACTCTGTCCCTTGCCTAGTGGGGGGTCTTGGGCAGAGGATGGCGTTACTGACCTGCCCGGTGGGCAGCGGAGAGCAGCGCCGTGGGACAGACTAGAGACTCAGGGCCCTCTGGTGGCTTCGTAGCCTCACCTCACAAAGACTGTGCCATCTCTGACCACAGCCCAATCCGATGTCCCGTCAGAGGCTTATCAGGGGCCCTCTCCTCAGTCCCTTTTATGCAGCAAAGTCTCCCTTTGGGAGCGAAGCCCTGCTCCCAAGCCCCGCAGTCCGACTCCTGTCCTGAGCCCCTCCTCCTGTGGGAAAAGGTCTAACGCTTAGAGGAAGGCCCAGGAGCTGCGGAGGCCGAGTGGTGGGGAGAAGGTGCGTGCATGACACTGCGCCTGTCCGTCACGGGCACATTCATTCTCCCTGTGGGGTCACTACAGAGAACTCTGGGCAAAGCGTCGGGAGGGAGTTCCAGGGTCGAGGAGGAGTTTGGGATCTTGGATATCAGCATTTTGAATTCAAACTGAATCCATACACCACAAAACTTGTGCTTTTAAGGTGCACAGTTAAGTGGGTTTCATGTAGTCCGAGCTGTGCATCCACCACCACACTCAATTTTTGGACATTTTCATCACCTAGAAGAGAAGCCCTGAACCCCTTAGCCGTCACTGCCCGGGCCACTGTCCCCCCAGCCCTTGACACCTGCCCGCCCGCTTTCCGTCTACGGACGTGCCTATTCTGGACACTTTATCTAGATGGAATCCTATCATATGGGGCTTTTTATGTCTGGTTTCTTACACTCAGCAGGAGGTGGTCAGGGTTCATCCACATTGTAGCACGTACAACTTTGTTCCTTTTTGCGGCGAAAGGATGTTCCAGCGAACGGATACGCCACATTTTGTTTCTAGGCGTGATTAGTTGAGGGACATTTGGGTTGCTTCTGCTTTTTGGCTGTTACAGATAATGCTGCCGTGAACATTCCCGTGTAGGTGGGAATGTTTCACGCCCCTTGGGTAGATACCTGGGAATGGAATTGCTGGATCCCACGGCAACTCTGTGTTTAACTGCTGGAAGAACGTCCAGACTGGAAAATATGTTCCCGGCAGCAGCATGTGAGGGACCTCGCTTGTCCACATCCTCAGGCCTGTTCATCTCTCACGTGACTGCAGCTCTGGGCGTCGTGAAGCAGTGTCTCGCGGTGGCTTTGATCTGCGTTTCCCTAATGACTAATGACGTCGAGCATCTTTTCATGAGCTTACTGGCCATTTGTGTGTCTTCTTTGGAAAACTGTCCATTCAAGTCCTTTGTCTCTTTGATGTCACTGTTTCAGCTGGGCCACGTGTCAAGACTCTGCTGGCAAACTACAAACACCGCTAGAGTCCGTGCAAATAAAGCTGGGGACACCCAGGGGAGCCTGAGGAGCCCAAGGGCAAGGACACACCTGGCCCCTGGCAGGCTGGGGAGCCGGGTCGCGGAGGCGCCTGTCAGGGCGGACCAACGGGAGAGTATAGGCTCCTCGAGCTTCCTGTGTCCCTTTGGCCGTCTGTCCCTCCCCTGCCGTCTAGTGACGAAGGGTAGCCCCACAGGCCAGGTTGGATTGGAATCATTAAGGGCCAAATCCCCATTTCTGAAGGAGAGAGTGCACGGCCCAGCAGAATTCACAAAGCCACCCTTTGTCCCTCAGCACGCGGAGTCTGCTGTCTTCGCTTTGCGGGTCACGACTGGACTGTCCCAGAGTGCAGTCTGGCTGAACTAGAATCGAGATGCCATGTCAGCGTCCACTGGGACCTCCGTGGCATTTTACGAGGGAGCAGGACCACTTGATTGGCTTCGGTTCATGTTGTTACTTGAGAATGGGCCCCTGGCTCTGGGGAGCAGGAAGGAAGATGGGGTCCTTGGGAGGTGATGGGTTTTACTATTGAAGGGGAGACTTTCACCAGTCTTAACATCCAGGAACACACTGAGGGCTTAAAATTGAGAAAGACCACCCGCGACCCAGAGCCTGCTGTCCCAGACCCTGGTCTGTGTTCACGAATGTCCACTTTGTCAGCCGGCATCTGCTGAGCGCCCGGCGGCAGAGCAAGACCTTTGTGGTGCCCACGGTCCCGTCCCAGGCACCCGACGGAGGGCACCCCTCTGGTAGTCCACCAGCAGCGCGCAGAGGTGGGTGGTCAGTCCACACCAGAAAACAAGACCCCTCAGCTGCACCAGGAACAAAGCGAGGCTTTGAACAAGGTTCGCCTGTCACCAAAGTCCCTGCCTTTTTGTTAACTTCTTGTAGACCGTTTCCAACACACAGAAGTCGAGCAGGAAGCCCATTAGCCCCTCATGGTCAGTCTTGTTTCAGCGATAACCTCCCTGCTCCCTCTCTTCCCCTCCCCAGAGCGTCTGGAGGTAAATCGCAGACACGGTAAAACTTGATTTGTAAGTATTTGCGTGGACGTTGAAAGAGGAAGGGCTCTCCTTCGGGAAAGCCCAGCTGCATGTGGGGCGCCCCCCACCCCGTGGGTGCGCGGCCGCACGCTGCCGGCCTCAGGGTGTCGGTCTGCGCGCTCCTCCTCACCGGGAGTGCGGCTCCAGTAAGGCCTGCGCTCTGACGGCCGGTGGCTGTGTCTCCCGCTTCTCAGTCTCTGTCTCGGGATTTTTTTAGTGGAAGAAGCATAGGCCTTTTGTCTCAGAGCTTTCGTTGCGCTCTGGAGTTTTCAGCTTACACCCCTGTGCCCGTTTGCACGTGCTGCCTGTCCCCTGGGCGGTCGTAAATGAGTCTGTAGGTCTCAGGGATAGCCCCGTTCTCAGCCGGCCGTTGCGTAGGTCCTGGGGAATCCAGAATGCGTGAGTGCGTGACAGGGTCGGGGGGCAGGATGGGGATATACAGGAGGAAAAACAAAACAAAGTACCTCGGAAAAGCGTAACCTCCCCGGACGTAGGCCGTGGCTGGGAGCCCTGTCCCTGAGGGTGGGCATCTGGTTCCTTCCCTGTAGTAGATGAGAGGTGGACGTGGGTATGCGCAGGGCACCGGCTGCTGGAAGAGGCGGCAGGAGAGCAAAAAGCTGTTCGGGGTAGCGGGGCGCCCAGAGGCGCTGCTGTGGCCTGGGGAGCATGGAGCATGCAGATGGGTTTTAGAAGAAGCACCCCCTGATGCTGCTTCTACTCCAAGTAGGAACGTGAGCCTGAGGACCACGTCTCTGCTCTTTGGGTTTCTTTGGACGGCGTGAAGAGCAGCCCCACGGGTGCAGGCAAACAGGCCCTCCTCTGGGCGTGACCCGCATGACTCTTGGTGCTGATCTGGGGGGGGACAGCACCCGCCCTTCTGCTTGGCATCTGCTCTGTGAAAGCACAGCGAGAGAGACCCAGAATCCGAGCGTTGGTCACCAGCTGTAGGGTGTCAGCCAGGGCGTCGGCCAGGCCGCCTGGAAGCCCTGAGGGGCTCCACTGCCTGCCCAGGCTTCTGAGCAGCAACCCAGAAGGTCTCCAGGCAGGATGCCGAAGATGTCTAAACCACCGCACATGAGCCCCAGCCATCAGGCCCCACCCGCCCTTGCCTCAGGAGACAGTCCTAACGGATCTCCTGGGAAAGACAGGCAGTTGTTGGGCTGTTCTGCTTTCCAGAGGGGTCCAGAAGGGTATTGTCGTGGATCACAGTTTTTACTGTGGAAGAGTGCATAAAAATTAAGGTGTGTGGAGTTTTAAAATGGTCCGTTTCTTCCTATTATGGAAACATAACGTTGAACTGTCACCAGGAGTGTGTATGACGTTACAGGATTTACGAAATCATTGTATCTTTAAGACTCCTGGATCAGTGGAGGAAACTTGAATTCAAGACTCCAAATTGTGGTATGTAAATTAAGTAAAATGTTTTGCCTAACATTCTGGTTTAAATTTTCCAAAGCCAAAACATTTTAAACCCTTAACTGTTTAATCTTCTTTAAGGAGACAGCTGGAGTGGTAGGAAACACTAGGACCTTGACCAGAATAGCTTCCCCGTGTTAGGACGGTGAAGGGACAGCTGCCTGTGTGGAGGGAAATACACTGGTGGAGGGCGGGCCGGAAGCCACCCCTCCTGTTCTCAGGTGGCTCATGGGGCTCTGGGTCTGGCTTGCTGGGGGCCTTGGAGCCGGGGGTCCTCAGTGTCCAAGCCCAGCACACTCACTGCTGAGCCTTGTCAAGCGTGGATGCCGGCCCCCACCTCACACAGGTTCAGCTCTCCAGCTCTGGTGCCAGCCTGGGCATCCGGGCTTTGAGGAGTCCCTCGCTGTGCCCGCCACCGTTCATTCCCGCCTTGCATCTCCTTGGGCTCGTGCTCCCTCCGCAGCCCTGGGCTGCTTTTCCCGAAGTGCATTTCTGCTCCAAGCGCAGCCTCCGTGGCGCTAACCAAGGGGAGATGAGACCTTGTTCCTGCCTTGCCCCATGTAGAAACTCCTCTCTAGGGCGTCACTGGCCTCAGTGCACCCCGCCATGGCTCCTGGAGTCCGGTCCCACAGATGTGTTGTTCACGGAGAAGCTCTGCTGCCCAGAGAACAAGGCCCTCCGTGCCCGCTGCACAGGCCTCACCTGCTCCTGGCCGCCCGCGCTCCACCTCGGCCAGCATGTGGGACACCAGCAAATGCACCATCGCCACCCTAATGCTCTCCTCCCGGGGCCGAGCCCCCCTCGTCAGCCCCTGCATCGGGTCAGGTGTTCAGGGCCACACTTTCCAGGTGTGTGTGTGTGAGTGCTCTTGATGAGGCGGCAGGTGCACTGCACAACTGCAAATATGAGATAAAGTCCTTTCTGTCATCGTTCTGTGCAGTGTTGCCCCCCCCACCCCCGGCAGCTGCTAGGAAAGCCATACACTGATCATTAAGCCCTGCCCTTGAGAATGGGATGACACGGGAGTGGTGTCGACAGAACATTCTGCCCTTCAGCGATAATCAGCTGCCCTTGAGTTGGAATGACTTGACAAACAGACCTCGCTTCTGGTGTGTCCTGCCTTAAGCTAGAAAGAATTCAGGTGACCTCCCAGTTTATGAAGGATAAAGTATTTTGTGTTCATTTTAATACATGTGCTATTTTTCATGGAAAGTCAAACTTTTGATCGTGTCTGAGTTATACGGTTATTTTTCATTTTTGTCTTTTGGTTTTTAAGTAGGCTCCACACCCAGTGGGGAGCCAGTCGTGGGGCTTGACCTCACGACCCTGAGATCAACACCTGAGCTGAGATCAAGAGTCAGACGCTTAACCGACGGAGCCACCAGGCGTCCCTTTTTTCCGTATTAATGTACTTTAAGTGACAACCACAGCATTACAAATTCTTTTACAATGTATAAAATTTAAGACTGATCCTACATTTATTGATTTTTTTTTTTTTAATCTTCCTTTTTCTCCAACCAAAACACATTCTTACTGAACTGCAGGGGGCGGTACCCAAAGGAAATGCTACTAAAGAGTACATGGAGAGTTTGCAGCTGAAGCCTGGAGAGGTCATCTACAAGTGCCCAAAGTGCTGCTGCATCAAGCCTGAGCGCGCCCACCACTGCAGGTACCACAGCCCCCTCCCCAGAACAGCCCGGGCGCCCACCACTGCAGGGACCACAGCCCCCTCCCCAGAACAGGAGGCCCTTCTCAGAGGCCTCTGGCCAGCACCTAATTCTGTGTTTTGGATGCATGGCCTGGGGTTGTGTGTTCTCAGAGCATGGAATACTGAAAACCAGACTTCTCCTTTTCAGTATTTGCAAAAGATGTATTCGAAAAATGGATCATCACTGCCCGTGGGTGAACAACTGTGTAGGAGAAAAGAATCAGAGATTTTTTGTGCTCTTCACTGTGAGTAAAAGTACTTGTGTGGTGACTTAAGTTGAGTGCTCAATTCTTTAACTAGAATCTTGCTTGGAGCAGGTGAATTTATTCTCACATCAGACCACTTTCTCTCCAACCTTTTCTCTGGGATTGAAATGATAATACTGTGCTGTCCTTGGCAGGAAGCAGTAAATGTTGCTTGTGTGCCTGTTTTAGGTGTTTTATGCAGTTTCGTGCTCTCTCAGATACCTTGAGTCACAGTTGCTAATAGGGTCTTGCCGAAATGTGTTAGGACTCCCTTCCCTGCTGCGTGTTCTGGGGGATGTGCTCCTTAGTGTAGTATGACCCCAGGCGGCAGCTGTGAGCTGCTCGGATGGATTCCTCCCCTCATTAATCTACTGATGATTGAAATGGAAGAGAAAATACGCTGATGTAGACTTTGCTCCTAGAAATACGTGATGGCTCCCTGGTGGCTAATGAGCTTCTCATTTGTTCCAGATGTACATAGCTCTGTCCTCAGTCCACGCTCTGATCCTCTGTGGACTCCAGTTCGTATCCTGTGTCCGAGGGCAGTGGACTGGTGAGTCACGCTGTGTGTCCCCTTCTCATGAGCACATGCTGTCGGGCAAAATGGGAAAAGCCAGAAGAACAGATGTTCCAGTCAATTCCTAGATCCCTTTAGTGAGGAATACAGGTTTCAGGTCTACTGTCTCATGAGTGTATTGAAGCCACAGACATACATTCCTTGCTTAGCCATGTAATAGTTCCTGCGAAGCAGCTGTGCAGAGTTTTAAGACTACCTGGCAATGAGTGTCGTTCCGCCAAACGTTGAGTTTGCTTTCTGGTTAGCTAGCTGGGAATTGTCAGTGTGGGCCTTGCGTTACTGTATTGGAGCGAACTGCAGCAGGTGCAGTAAGGTGGGCACTGATCGCCCCTCCCTGGACAGGACGGCAGGTCAGCCAGACGCGCCCCCTGGGGGCCTGTGTGGGGCAGGGTGGGGACGCGGGGCTGTCCTGTCTCCTAGCTTCCCTTGAAGGTCAGTGCACAGGTACAGCTTTCCAGAAACCTCAGGTGAGATGGAAACTGCTGACCAGCAGCTGGTGGAATGGTTTTGTGCCCAGAAGGGCTGACTGCCTCCGCCCCGTGGTGAACAGTGAATGTGCCATTGACAAGTGAGCACAACGGTCCGCTGGGGCTGGCTCCAGGGCTGGCTCCACGAGGATTCTTCTGTGAGCCGAACGCGATGCTCTGGGGCCCACTCACAGCCCGCTTTCTCTTGTTCACAGAATGCAGTGACTTCTCACCTCCGGTGACTGTAATCCTGTTGATCTTCCTGTGCCTTGAGAGTCTTCTGTTTTTCACTTTCACTGCAGTTATGTTTGGCACCCAGATCCACTCCATATGCAACGATGAAACGGTACGCTTCCTTCTCTGGCGCGGCTGCTTGACGTTATTTGTCTTGGCTAAATGGGCAAGCCCAGGGCCCACAGCAGGTGCGGGCGCACTGACTCGGGGGGTGACAAGACAGGTTCTGTGTGCCCGTCCTTCCTGTGAGTGCGCGGTGCAAACTCAAGGATCCGTTTGACTTGAGAGTCAGCAGATCCGGGCAGATCGAGCCAGGCCGATTCCCAGGTTCTAGGAGACCCAGCCCCCCCGCAGCAGCTATACGTGAGGTGCCGTGCCTTGATAAACATTTGTAACAAATGCAAAAAAGGTTGGTGGCCTGACCCCAAGGACTGGCTCCTTCCCGCCACCGCCGTGGCTGCCTGGGCTGGGTGCGGGTGGCCACTTGGCCGGCGGCTACAGCCTGCGTGCGCTCCGGAGGCCGTGGGGCTGGCACAGCAAGGAGGGTCTGCTCTGCTGGCCACCGAGGGCCCACACGTCGCCAGAGCATCTGGCGGTCACGTGGAACCGGATTCCAAACTCTGGTGCTGGCTTCTCTGCTGTGAGCACGGGGCCTGCCTGCGTGTGGTGGGGGTTCCGCGGGGGCGGCCGCCCACCCGCGATCCTCTCTGCTTCCAGGAGATCGAGAGGCTGAAGAGTGAGAAGCCGACGTGGGAGCGGAGACTACGATGGGAGGGGATGCGGTCTGTCTTCGGAGGGCCCCCCTCCCTCCTCTGGATGAACCCCTTTGTCGGCTTCCGGTTTGGGCGGCTGCAGACCAGACCCAGGAAAGGGGGCCCAGAGTTCTCTGTCTGAGGCCTCAGCATGCCGGGACTTGTCAACCGACTCCAAGTTATTTATCTGGGGTCTGAAAGGGTATCAGCAGCTCACCTGTGACCATGATGGCAGACGGAACCTACGCAGATCAGCTGCGTGCAGCAAGCAGAGTTTTCTATATTTATAGTCACAGATTGCAGAATTTCGAAACCAGTGACGGGGGGACGCTCTGGCCAGTTTTCGCCTGTATGACTAACGAGAGGTATGTGGCCACGTGAAGAAGCCAAATGTCATTATCTTCCTGCACAGGATTTTTGTCAAGAACACTTAGCATTTTCTAAGAAGTTGTGTGGGATATTCCATGGGTGATTAAAATCCTGTGTATTAAGCTGCTTTTTTCAATCATGAAGAAAAAAAAAGTCAATCCAGTGAATAAGAATTCTCCAGCTAATGGTTTTAGGGTATTCCTGTTGACCCTGGGCTTCATTAGTGCACTCCCTTGAGCAAGAAGGGGCGTTTACATAGAAACATTTTGGTCTCAATGAGCTCTGACACTTTGCACTGAATTTGCAAAAGATCTGTGCACTGAACAGTGAAGGTGGCTTTAGATTCACTCCCACTGCCCTGGAAGAGGGGTGCTTTGACCCTTTCAGCAAGTGTGTGTGTGTGTGTGTGTGTGTCTGTCTGTCTGTCTGTCTGTGCGTCTGCGAGTGTGTGCGTGTGCATGTGTGCTTTAAAATTGGCAGTGTTGTTTAGGTGACATAACAGGTAATAGCTGCGTGCAGCCAACGAGCTGTTTTTTTAGAAACCAACGTTTCAGGGAAGAGGGGAAGCTGCCACGGGACCCTTGTCCCGTGGGGTTTACTATGAATGTATTGCATTTTGGAGAATATCTTGATCCAAAGAACAATCACTCCTGTGTGGTCCTTCGTTGCCCTCCTGTTTTAACTTCGTTTTAAAGATCTTGGGTGCGTGAGGGCCTTGGAACGGATGTGGTTTTTTTCCCAGCCAAGTCAGCAGTATATGCACGGCACCTCAGTAAGAGAACAGTGAAGGCTCATGGGGGCCTAATACTTTGTGCAGCCGGATGTCGTTTTGGGTGTGGAGGAGGGCGGGCCTGGCCACAGTGACTCACAGAGACAGACAGCTGTGGGCCTCTGGGCATCACTGAGAATGTGAGGGGACTCCAAGGCAGAGCCCCAGGACTCTGAGCCTCACTCACTTGCAGAGAGTATTCAGGATGGCAACAGCTTTATTTTTTGTATCATTTCTGTTTCTCTACCCATGTCACAAATGATAAAACAGGACCTTTGGTGCAGAGCTTAAAATGCTATCAGAAAGCAAACAGCTCCCCTCCTTGGGGACTCGCCTTAAACTCGCCTGGTCTGTACCTGTTCTGCGGGGCTCGTGAGGAAGCGATCCATGACACAGCCCTAGGCTCTCTTGCGAGCCTGCCTGCACGCTGAGAAGAGTCGGTGTTTCCTTCCTGGCTTTGACGCCCTTCCGTTCATCTGTGAACTGTTATGTTTCTGTGGGAATTAATCTGTATCCTCTCCTAATCAGGGCTTCTGCCACTGCTGATGCAGATCCCCAGGGGGACCTACCTGAGACACAGCTGTTGCCAGGTGAGCAAAGCTGGGGGGGGGGTGTCTCGGAAATGGACCGAGTCTCTGCACACTTGTGTGAGCCATGGGGGAGGGGCCGTGTCCCTGCTAGAGGGACAGGCCCAAGGGGGACCGGACACGACAAGCGTCCAGAGGTCGTGTTGCATATTCATTTGCACATCCGTTGTCTGGGGTGGACTTGTGTGTTCGGCTTCAGTGTGAGGCTTTTAAAATGTATACCTGTTTATCAATAAAAACATGGTCGAAGTGGTTGAACCCCGTGAGACTTGGCAAGTGTGTGCAAATCAAGTGTCCTTGACTTTCACCTCTTCAGCGTTACTTTTATGTGAAATAAAGTTGCCGCTGACAGCCCCAGACAGCTGGGTAAGTGGCGCAGGTCCTCACTGACCATCAGCACCAGCAGCCTGGCTGCCGCCGTCACTGTCCCAGAGCCCTGAAATGCTCTGGTGCTGTGCCAAGTGGTGTGGGCTGGCGGGCGCTGCCCTCCCCAAAATGTGCCCTACCCACGTTTACTGTCTGCTCGTAGTCGATGCATGTCACCCAGCTTGACTTGATTCAGAGCATTCCTGTCACTTTTTTAGTGCACTTTGAAATAAAAACAATTTTAAAAAAAATCTCTCTCTTGGATCCAGAATCTCAGGCACCTACAACTTCATTCAACAAATCTAACGTTTGTGCTCGAGGGAGCCAAAGGGTCATGAAGAGGGCGACAGGCCTGCACTCTGCCCGCCCCGGCAGGAGGAGCAGCAGCTGCCCGCGTGCCCGCGGGGACGCTGCCGGCGTTTCGGGTGTGCCGGGGCGCGGACACACGGCCCTGAGCCCGGCAGCCAGGCCGCAGCAGCTCCCAGGCTTCTGTTTGTGCAGAATTCTGCTGCCACATTCCCAGTCTTCCCCCCGTTAGGCTGTGAGGGTAGACTCCGTATCTAGAAGTAGGATGTTGGCGTTAAGATGGATAATGGCAATATTACCCAAATGTGAAGGTGGCTAAATCCGATCTTCTAGTGTATGTGAACTTGGTTTGGCTGCTTAAGCAGAGAAAAGCATCCTGTAAGGTGGCCCAGAAAAAGCACCTGAAGAGGGGGGTGCCCATCAAATCCACGGTGGTTCCAAAGTAGCATTCCGGTGTGCTCGGTGAGAGGGTGAGCTACCTACAGTCCTGACTGGGGACCAGATTTAGAACCTCAGTGCTGCTTATCCAACTGATAAGCAGAGACAGCCTGAAGACACAAAGGGAAGATAAGCTGATGTGATCTGTGGCTGGTTTTGCTTTCGATCTGCCAAAGGAGGCATAGCTTGGCTGCCAGGCATGATGGGAAAGACCGGGAAACTCTGCATTCCCCGGGACCCGTGGTTTCCCGGGATTCCTGGCCTGCTCCATCTCCCCTCCCCACTCACCCAGCATGTTCACAGCCTGACATTTTATTCCTTATATAGTTTATGAAGGCTAGATTAAAAACGAAGCCAAGCAGGGTCCTGGGACACACAGTTTCTTGCTTTTCCTAGAGCTAGAAGTGCGGTGTGTGCCCTGGCCCCCATGGCTAGGTCTTCCTCTACCCCAGCAAGCCTCTCCGGTCCCGGGCTGGTTCTGCCTGGCCTCCCCGACCCACTTCTGCTCCCGGAGCCCAGCTTCTCCAGCGGTGCTGCGCAGCCGTCGTCCTGAAGCACATGTGTTCAAGCCCCCCTTTCCTGGGTTCCACATCTGGATCCTGCAGCTGATGCAGAACATTCTCTGCTGGTTCCTTGTTAAAGGGTTGTTATCAGTCAAGGTTTTCAACATGGTGGCCTGTTGGAAAATGCCTTTATTCTACCCTCACCTTGGCTGACGGACTGTGCAGCCAGATCACGGGTTCTGGTTTTGGTCTTTTCACTCCCCCTGTTGGGAACACCATCCCATCGTCCAGCCCCACCCCCCACCCCAGCACAGCCGCTGAAAGGGTCTGTGCCCCCTTCTTCCCACGTTTGCTGTCATGCGTCTGTGCCTGTGTTTTCAACCACAGGAAGCCTTTTTGTCCTCTTGCTATCAGATCCTCAGATGCCCCCGTGGTTGGACTGGTGCGCATGTACCCTTCCTGTCCCAGACACATGTTTTTCAGTCCCGGCAGGTGTGCTGTCTCACATCTTCAGGAACTCCATCCTCTCCATTTTCTTGTTTTTCTAACTCTTACAAATTGAATGTTGCACAGCCTAGACGGGTCCTCTGATTTTCTCAACTGTCGATGCTTTGTTTTCTGAAAATAGTCTTAATTTTGTCTTCTAGCTGAGTATTTGATTTAGGCTATGATAGTTTTAATTTCTAAGGGCCCTTTATTAGTTCCTTTGTCCTTATTTTCTATCTTAAAACACACACACACAGCTTTTTAAAGAAAAGTGGTTCTAGGTTCTCAGCAAAACTGAGGGGACGGTTCAGGGGGTTCCCATATGCCCTCTTTCCCTACTGTCACCACCCCCCACCAGAGGGTACCTCTGTCACAGGTGATGAGCCCACACTGACACATCATCACCCAAAGCCCATAGTTTACATTAGGGTTTGCTCTTACTGTTAATTCAGTGGGTTTGGAACAATGTACAGTGACAGGCATCCATACACAGAGTAGCTTCACTGCCCTAAAAAAGCCTCAGCTCCATTTAGTCCTTCCTTCCCCTCCACCCTGCCAGGCAGCCGCTGATCTTTTCACTGTCTTCATAGTTTTGTCTCTCAGAAAGAAGGTCATCTAGTTGGAATCTTTCTGTACGTGGACTTTCAGATGGGCTTCTGTCACTCAGTGACAAGCATGTAAGTTTCCTCCATGTCTTCATGGCCTGATAGCTCATTTCTTTTTAGCGCTAATATTTGATTATTGTTGTGTGCCACAGTTTATTTATCCACCTCTTCAAGAGCATCTTGCTTGCCCCCAGCACTGGCAGTTATGAACAGAGCTGTTAGAAACAGCTACATGCAGGTATGGACCTAAGTTTTCAACCCCTGTGTGTTCTGCCAGGAGTTGTGGTTTCCGGGTCTTCTGTTTGAGTTGATGTTTCCATTTTCATTCCATTTGCATTCCCCTGCATGTAGATAACCAATTTTCTCAACTCCACCATTTGTTGAAGAGACTGTCCTCTCCCCATCATGTGTTTTTGGCACCCTCTGTCACAGATCAGTTGACCATATATGCCTGGGTTTATTTCCGGGCCCTCCATTCTGTTCCTTTGGTCTGTATATCTGTCTCTACGCTGGTAACCATACTGTGTTGATTCCTGTGGCTTCAGAATGTATTTTGAAATCAGGAAGTGTGATCATCAGCTTTATTCTTTGCTCTCATGATTGATTGGCCATTTTTAGTCTTCTTTGGTTCTGTATGAATTTTAGAATTGTTTTTTCTAGTTCTGTAAAACATGCCATTGGGACTTTGATGGGGATCACATTGAATCTCTAGATCAGTTTGGGTAGTGTGGACATTTTAGTAATACTTCTTCCATTCCATGAACATGGGATGTCTTTCCATTTGTGTCTTTCATTTCTTTCATCAATGTTTTTGGAGTTTATACAAGTTTTTCACTTCTTAGTTTATTCCTAAGTATTTTATTCTTTTTTATGTAACTGGGATTGTTTTCTTAATTTCAGGTAGTTTGTTGTTTGTGTATAGACACGTCACTTTTTGTATATTGATTTTGTATCTTGCAACTTTTATTAAATTTATTAGCTTTAACAGTTTTTTATTTTTTATTTTTGGGTTTTTTTTTTTTTTGCTTTGTTTTGGGGGGAATCTTTACATCTAAAGAGTTTTCGATATATACGATCATGTTATCCACAGACAGGGATGGTTTTATTTCTTCCTTTCCAATTTGGATGCATTTTATTTTTTTGTGGTCAAGTGCTCTGGTTAGGACTTCCAGTACTATTGAATAAAAGTACTTTTATTCGTACTTCCAGTACTGTCGAATAAAAGTAGTGAAAGTAAAAGGCATCCTTGGCTTGTGGCAGATTTTTACTGCTGAGTATGTTAACTGTTGGCTTTTCATACATGGTCTTTATTATGTTGAGGTACTTTCTATTTACAGTTGAGAGCTTGGTCTATTGTTTTTTAGCATGAAAGGGTGCCGAATTTTGCCAGATACCTTTTCTTGATCTGTTGAGATGATCGTGTGATTTTTATGCTTTATTCTGTTAATGTAGGTGAATCGCATGAATTGATTTTTGTTTGTTGAACCATCCTTGTATTCAGGGGAAAATACCACTTGGTCATGGTGTATGTTTCTTTTAATGTGCTGTTGGATTTGGTTTGCTATTGTTTTGTTGAGGATTTTTACATCCGTTTTCATAAGGGACATTGTTCTGTAGTTTTCTTGTAGTATCTGTGTCTGGCTTTGGTGTCAGGATAATGCTGACCTCATTGAATGAGTTTAGAAGTGTTTCCTCCTCTTAAATTTTTTGGGAAGAGTTTGAGAAGGACTGGCCTGAATTCTTCCTTCATTGTTTGGTAGAGTTTACTAGTGAAGCCATCTGATCCTGGACTTCTATTTGTTGGGGGGTTTTTGATTACTGATTCAACTTCAGTATTATAGGTCTGTGAAGACTTAATAAAATCAGAAATGAAGGAGGAGACATTACAACCAATGCCACAGAAATAAAAATGACTATAGGAGACTATAAACAAGCATACACCAACAAACTGGACAGCCTAGAGAGGATGCACTCCTGGAAACATATAACGCACCAACTGGACAACCTAGAGAGGATGCACTCCTGGAAACATACAACCTACCAAGACTGAATCACAAAGAAACAGCACGCCACTTACAAAGCCAGACTCAATCTGCAGGAATGCTCCGGGGGGGCAGGTGTGTTAGTGGCACATCTTTATCTTGAGGAAGGATTTTGTTGGGAGGAGGGACTTGAGACCTCAAACTGATAAAGAAGCAAAATTCAAACTAAATGAAATGTTTGGATTTCATTATGCTTCCTTTTACTGCATCCCCTCGTTTTGATTGTCATCCTTGAGAATGTCATGCGGAATGAACTAGGAAGGAGGAAACATAGGCACGTTCATAGGCACAAGCCTGCTGCAAGACGCATGAACCTCCAAGAGCTTTAAAAGAAAGGGGCCACAGGAACGTTGGCAAGGTTGCAGGTCTGACGTGAACGTGGTCACTGCTTTTCCAAGTAACAAACAACAGCAACCAGGTAAGGCCAGACAATTGCAGAGATCCGCAAGGACCTCACTTCATCCAACTAAGGAGACTTGGGACCTCCATTCTCACCCCACCTCCCTTCTCGT